CCCCCCCCACCCCAAAAAAGAAAAAAAGAGAAAGAAAGAGAAGAAATATGTAAAAGAATCATTGACGCCACAAGGAAAACTAAACACTAGTTTAAAATGTTTGTGCATTTCTATTCTAACCAGGCATGCAAAGTTATTAAGAAACAATCAGTGTATCACGATAATTACCATTGCTTTCTTTCCCAAAACCTAGTACAAAGCAATTCAATCAAAGAAATTTGAACCTCAAAAGTTTCTCCTAAACACTCCCAAAAGTCTAACGCCCAATGACAACACGAAACAGAAAGAGTCCATGGTGGATACTTATTTTATAGTGAAATATTCACCATAGGCCATATAAACTTCTTCTTTTCCATCCTTAATTGTACTTTATCTATATCTAATTATTTTCGTCATTCGAATTTTTTTGAAGTTGAATTTAGTAATTGATAGCAAGTAGTAGCCCACATGTAGCCATTCTTTAGACAACCTTATATCTAAGCAAATAGATGAATATGTAATTACTCTTTTGCATTTCTTATTCTCACAGTGATCCTTACTCTCGCTATACCAGTTCTCTTATCTCTCATGTTCTTTCTTGTTGTAGACACTTTAGTTGAGAGTTGAGAGTTGAGACTTGTCACTTTCTGCTGCTAGTATTTTTTATTTTTTTTATTTTTACTGCTGCTGTTCTTTATGCATTCATGAGATTTTCCAGTTATAGATTCTAGAATTATAGAACTTTGATGTTATTAGACCATCTTAGAGAACATATTGGGGAAGTTTCTAATTTTAGATTCAGTTGAAGATCAAATTTGGTTGGAGAAATGGATTTCGCAGACAAGAATGGTATTTATTAAATATAGTTATGGCACCCTAGGTCTCGGGTTCAAATCCTAACGAAGGCAAAAAAACACCCAAGTGATTGTAGCCTAGAGACCACAATCATTAAAAGAAATTGTGGTTCTGTAAATACTCTTATGGTCTAACTTGTTGATGACCTTTCCTCTCATTGTGAAGGAAATTGCTAAGATATTTGCTTTGGTTACATTTCTTGTGGCTTATTGGTTAAGATAATTTTCATGAGCTATGTTTGTTTGGGCAATGGGCTACAGGTGTCTACTTTGTAGGATAAAAACAAGCAAAACAATAAATAAATCCTTAAGTCGATTATAATGCAAAATAAAAGTGTGTTTGGCATTCCTTGGAGGAAGCTTTTCTTACTAAGTGTAATACTCACCATATACCAGATACTTGGTTGCTCTTATTTTCATCAATATTCCTCAAATTTTGGCTGAATTTTAATCAAGTTTAATCAACTTAGGGTGTTCAAGTTGTCAAGTGAGCAAAGTTGGAAGAACTTTGCCCGGCTCTTGGTCAGGGGAGTTTGGAAATATTATACATTTTTTGTTGCTTGTTGAAGCTCTACACATAAGCATGACTAAGAGTATTGCACGTTGTGAACTCAGTGAAGAATATAGAGAAGCTTGCAATGAGTTTCGGGTGCAAAGTGGGGAATATTTCGACCAAGTACTTTGGGATCTAAAACCAAATGAACTAAGCTGTGGCAGGACATTACTAAAAGGTGGATGTTGGCTACCTAGAAGAAGCAATATCTGTCACACGAAGGCATACTAACAGTAACTAACATTGTTGGTGATATCCTTCCCATGTATAATTTGTCAATGTATCATATCACAAACAAAGTGGAGAAGAAACTGAATCAACATCGACTACAAACAATCACATTGGCGAACTAAAACCTTCTCTCTTTCCCTTGGAGTAGGTCCATGAAAATTCTTAAGTCAACTTTGGGATCCTTGGGAATTAGGAGCAACTAAGACACAGTCACAAAAAACATGGGGTCGGCTATATAAATCCTCTTGTCTTTCTTTAAGCTCAACTTATATCATTGTCATGCCAAAAATAAAGTATAAGTGAAAGTGAAAAATAAGTCAAATAAACAAATAAATAATAATGATAATAATAGATGTTCTTCACTCTCAAAAAATCATATATATCAGTTCTTGGGAAAAAGGACAAATATACCCCCTGGACTATCGTAAATGGTATGCAGATACCCTCCGTTATACTTTTGGGACATTGGTGCCCCTGCTGTTCAAAAACTAGAGCATATATACCCTTTATAAGTGAAGGGCATATATACTTCCGTTAGAGTGAAGGGCATATATACTCTAATTTTTGGACGGCAGGGGCACCAATGTCCCAAAAGTATGATGGAGGGTATCTACATACCATTTACGATAGTTCGGGGGTATATTTGTCCTTTTTCCCTTAGTTCTTTAATGAGTGTAAAACATGTTCCCAACTGTAGGTATCACCTATATGAATCTTTTTCTTCAATTGTGCCTATTTCAGCTAAGTTTGCATTGACTCCAAGAATTTGTAGGTCTTTCGAGATAACTTCCTTTCACGTGATATTAGGACTACTCCGTCCCCCTCTAACATCTTCAATCACCACAGTTTCACACCTACACACCAGTGCATCCGTAGGCCGACGAAGGGCATGACCAAACCGTTTCAAAGAGATTTTCTTTCATTAATCATTAATACATGCTACTTGCACCTTCTGACAAATAGGGTGAACACCAAGGAACTATGACCTTTCCTTTCTTCCTATGAACTTAATGTGTCAAGCAAGCAATTCTAACAGCCAACCATGTGAAACATTTGACTTCGAAAAGGTACTTTTCTGTCTTCTCCACAATGTTGCCCCATATCTCCACATCTTTATGTTTGTTGCCCAAAGGCATACCTAAGTAGACCAAGGCATATTTTCCACTTTGCAGGGCAAGATTTCTGTTAACCTCTGAATGTTAGCCACTTCTTTGATAGGAAACAAACTGCTCTTTCCCTAGTTAACTTTTAGAAAAACAGTAAAATTAGCTTGATAAGTTTTATCCTCCTGAGGCCCACTGATGATGATATAGTAACTGACAAATTTCTTTAATATCACCTTTTGGTTCCATTTATCTGGTATCCTTTAATACACCTGTTATGAATAGCTATCCATATCAAGCTATCAAAGCCCTCTATTACCAAGATGAATAAGAAGGGTGATAATGGATCACCCTATCTAATTCCCCTTTCTGAAGGAAAGAAGACCACTGGTTCAACAAATATCCCTATGAAGGTGTCATTCTTTGTCTGGTTGGTGATTAGGAAAGCTTGCCCAACTCAAGATTAAGCTACAAAGAAGAGGTCTTCAGGTTTGTTCGAGATGTCTTTTGTGTGAACAAAAGGGTGAAAACAATGAACACTTATTCATACACTACATGACAACTATAAACCTGTGGCCCATGTTCTTTTGTATTTTGGGAAAAACTTGGGTAATACCTAGTTCTACTTTGGCATTGCTGGACAATTGGTGGAGTATTGGGAATAGAGATGGGAAGGAGGACTGGTGGAAGATCATTTCTGCTTGCATTTGGTGGACGGTATGGAAGGAAAGGAATGGTAGACATTTTGAAGGCACTAGCAGTTCTATCGAGAAAATTAGGATGAATTGTCTTAGCTTGTTCCTTTTTTGGTGTAAGCAGAATATGTGGGGAGAAGTAGAGGAGTAAGTATATTAAATTGGAAATATATAATTGTATAGGGTTCTGGGCAGGGGTTTAAGTACCTTTTTGATGTTTGTAAAAGTTTCCAACCTAGCACCTTTTCTGGGGTAACTGAGTTTTTATTGAATAGAACTGTTACTTGTCTCAAAAAGGACCACTGGTTCAACATTCACGAGGATAGAAAATCTCACGGTGCTTATACAAAATCTAATCCAACCCAACTTCTTCTTCTTCTTCTTCTTCTTCTTCTTCTTTATTCTTCTTTCTCCTCGGGTTCCCAAATCTTTCCCTTTTCTTTCTTCTTATGTTACAAGCTACTTCCTCTGTTTGTTCCGGCAACCAAGGACGCCAAGAGGTAACTGTGGTGGCCACTGAGGGGACTGGTGGTGGAATGGAGAAGTCTAAGGAAAAGTGGAAGCAAAGAAGGCTACTTATGCAAATTGTTGGAATTGAAAGATGAAGAAGAGAAGCAAACGAATAAGGAAATTTATAAGGCAACAAAGACGGAGTCTAAGTTAGCGGTTACAACAACAAAGATGATGGCTTTCGAACTATTGTATATGAACTAGGGGACAAAGGTAGAGATAAGAAACTGTACAGGCTTGCGAAGGCGAGAGAGAGAGAGAGAGGAAGGCCCGAGATTTGGATCAAGTGAAGTGCATCAAGGATGAGAAAGGTAAGGTGTTGATGGAAGAGACCCTTATTAACGTACAGACTATTGAGTGAAGAATGGGACAGAGACATTGTGTTGGGTGCTTTGGAGACATTGTAGGTGTATTAAGGTTGAGAAGGTAAAGCACAGTATTAATAGGTTGAGTAGGGGAAGTGTGCCCCTACCGGATGAGTTTTTGGTGGAGTTTTGGAAGAGCATAGATAATGCAAGCGTGGAGTGGTTAACTATTTTGTTTGATGTCACTTTAAAGACTACAAATGCCCAAAGAAAGGAGGTGAAGCACAATGGTTTTGTTTTACAGGAAAAAGGACGATATCCAAAATTGTAATAATTACAAGGATATCGAGTTGTTAGGCAATACTATGAAAGTTTGGGAGAGAGTGGTGAAAATGAGGGTGTTTCTATCTCCAAAAACCAGCTCGGATTCATGCTGGGGCGATCAACTACAGAAGCCATCCATCTTCTGAAGTCTGGTGGAGGGAAGAGGGACTTACTATTTGGTGTTCATTGACCTTGAAAAGGCCTATGACAAAGTCCCGAGAAAAGTCCTCTAGAGATGCCTAGAAGCTAGATGTGTATCGATGACTGGTCAATAAAGACATGTATAATGGAGCCAAAACTCGTGGTCAAAACAGTGGGAGAGACTTGGAGCACTTCCTAGTTGAGATGGGGCTGCATTAGCGATCAATTCTTAACATGTTCCTATTTTGCTTTGGTGATGGATGTAGAGAAGCGAAATATTTAAGATGAGGTGCCTCGGTGTATGTTATTTGTGTATGACATATTATTGATGGATGAGACGCGCAACAGAGTTAATGCAAGGTTGGAGCTGTGGAGACCAATTCGGGAGTCTAAAGGGTTTAGGTTGAGCAGGACCAAAATAGAGTACTTGAAGTGCAAATTCTGTGACACAATGCATGAGGCAGACATGGAAGTGAGGCTTAACACGCAGGCTATACCATGAAAGATAGTTACAAGTATTTGGGGGTCTATAATCCAAGGAAGCGGGGGCATCAACTATGATATCACACATGTATTGGTGTGGCGGGGATGAAATAGAGGCTTGCCTCCAAAATCTCGTGTAATAAAAAGGTACCACTAAAACTTAAAGGTACGTTATGTAGAGTGGTGGTTAGATTGGTTTGTTGTATGAGGCAAAGTGTTGGTCAATCAAGAACTCTCATGTTCAGTAGATTCATGTTGAGGAAATAGGGATGTTGAGGCGGATATGTGGGCATATTGACAGCAATAAGATTAGGAATGATAACATTTGGGATAAAGTGAGAGTTGCCCCCGTGGTGGACAAGATGAGGAAAGCGAGATTGAGATAGTTTGGACATATGAATAGGGGATGCGCAGACACCCCAAATAAGAGGTTGAATATAGTAGGTAAGAGGAAGGTAGAGGTAGGCTGAATAAATATTGGGGAGAGGTGGTTAGGCAGGATACGACGCAACTTCAGATTATCGATGCCATGACCTTAGATAAGAGGGTACGGAGGACGCGTATTAGGGTAGAAGGTTAGCTGGTAGTGGAGTGTTTTTTTTGCTTTTCGAGGGCTTAGGCTTGTTGTTTTTTGTTGTTGTACTAGTCATATTCTTGTAGTTCTTGCTTTTGATATCTATCATCATCTGGTGTTTCTGGTGTTCTTGTGTTCGGTTATCGCACTCTTTTGTTGTTGTTTTTGTTCCTTTCTTGTAGGCTTTGTAATGCTTCCCGTAATAGTTGTGATGCCTTCTTCACTGTTGTTCTTCTTTGTATTTGGATTTGTTGCACTTGAGCTTGACGGTCTTTCGAAAACAACCTATCTTCCTCCACGAGATAGTGGTAAGGTTTGCATATACTCTACCCTCCCCATACCCCACTTGTGGAATTTCATTGGGTATGTCGTCGTTGTTTTCTCCTTTCCGGCGACTGACAGCTCTATTTTCTTGCTCAGTTTCTCCTCTGTTTTCGCCCTCTATCTACTCTGTTACAAGCTTCAGCAGTTCAGCAATTTAGCTTCTTCCTCTCTTTTTCATTTTTCTTCCCAATGTTTGTTTTTAATTTCTATTCTCAGTTTAGATTTGTTGTATAATAATTAATACATCATTCTTTTGCCTATAAGAAGAAATTTTCAATGGATGTTGCTTCGTTTATAATTTGGTTTTGAATTTGCTTGTCTAAGAATTATTGAGTATCTAGTTCTAGACTTTTAGTATCTACTTTTAGTTTTTGAGTTGAAATATTTGCTAATATGTGATTGTTGTTGAGATTTTGGTTATTTATATATGCACTTTAATATTTTACTTTTTTTGTTTTTCTTTGTCCCACTCTCTCGAGGTAAATTTGTGTACTCTTTTCCTTTTTTATGTGGTAGCAGAAACAGCCACAGGTGGATTGATAACTATCATGCTTTCTACTTCTAAGGAGGATAACCACTCATTTTATGAAGCAAGCGACATTTCCAATTTCTAGATGGAGCAAGGCCCTTAAACCTATCCCAGTTGCAGGTAACCTAGAGTTCCTTTTTCTTTATTTCCTTGTTTATTCACTGCTAGTATTCAACATAACACTGATTGCTGCTACTTGAGATAGATGATTAAGTTGATATTGGGGGATCTTGTTATTAAATTAAGCATGGACTCATACAGTTGCCCAACTTATTATCTCAGTAATAAATTTAATTTAAAAAGGGCAAGAAACAAGCCAGTAAGTATGAAGTGAATCTCCCAGCTAGTATATGGTGGGCAATATGGAAGGCAAGGAACTCTAGAGCTTTTGATAGTGTTGAGAATAGTATGCAAAAAGTCAAACTAAATTGTATTATGCTACTGTGTTTTTGGTGTAATCAATTATACTCAAATGATACTATTTCCATAATTGATGTACTAGACTCAATTTAGTAAAAGATAGTAGGATTTGAAGTACATGTTGTAAATACTGACCAATACAGTTTAGTACTGACTTTTGAGGAATAGACAAAGTTACCAATTTCAAAAAAAAAAAAACATGAAGTGAATCAAAAAGTAGAAAACCTTATAAAAAGGAAAGATTTTCAAAAAGAAATAAGGGATAAAAGGCTATTCTGCAAAAGTGTATAAAATCCCTTCCACTCTGTCAAAAGCTCTCCTATTTCTCTTTCCATATAGCCCACAGAATTGCTGGGGGCAGCAACATCCTATGTTCTGTTTCTTCTCCTTTGTCTTCCAAAAGGTCCAATGAAATATGTGATGTTCTAGAGAGATACTACAAGTCCTCCGTCCCAGATTCCATCGCCGCGGCCATCTGGTTCACCGGGCACTTTTTTAACCTAATCGATAGTTGTTAGGATGAATCACATCATGGCACCAAACTCTGTCCAAGACAAAAACATGATATTTAAGTGAAGAAAGGGGAAAGGGTCATTATCCATGAGTTTTGAACCTCACGCCTTTTTGCCTTGGAAATTTCTCGGGTTATAAGAAGGGTTCTCTTTTTTGGAAATGTCAAATGTTTCATTGATTATGCATCTTAGTGCTGAAGAAACTTTACAATCAGTGTAAGGCAGTGAGCCAATCAATGAAATTATCTCTTTTATTTATAAAAAAGTATGCACCAAAACGCTTGTTTGGATTGCCTAATTTTAGGTATTTTTATGCCAAAATAGCTTTTTTAACACTTTTGTAGTGTTAGGATTCCTAACTTTATGGCTGGGGCATTTGTAAGGATCAAGTTACACTAGTCTTTTTGCTAGCTTTTTTTAACACTTTTGTAGTGTTAGGAATCCTAACTTTATGGCTGGGACATTTGTAAGTGATAAGGATACGTTTGTGACTGTCACATCATAATTCAATAGTCAAACAGGGGATTAGGATAATAAAATACCAGTACAAATTTGACATACTTGATGTCCACTGTGCATGGTGGCCCATACCTTGTCATGGCTCCGGTTTGCCAATGGCATCCAACCTTCTCATGGTTTCAATTGCAGATGGTCGGCTGGTTTTTTTGCAATCTAAGGCTAACGTGATCATGTCATTTGCTATCCTTCCTTTGCACCCAGTGTTCCACAGTGTTTCTCTAATTCTATAACCTGCAAACCTTCTTTGAATGCTAATTCTAGGACCACTGGAATTTGGTAAGCATTCTTCTGTGAGAATCTGTAAGAGCATCACGCCGTACGAATACATATCGAAACTGGGCACTGCAACTATATTTAAAATTTTAAAAAAGGAAAGAAAAGAAGTTAGTATTAGCAATTCAATTAGGCCATTTCGCGAGTAAAAGCAACAACAGTTTGAAACAAGATAATAACACAGTACTCAGTATCATGCTTTTGGCCAAATAAATCCTTTTATATTCAAGACATAAAATATATCTTTAAAGTATCAAAACAAATAATAGGACTTTTATCGTCTTCCAAAAAACAAGTTTTAGACAGAACCATCTAAAACTAATGGAAAAATTGCACCAAAAAAGGAAAGACAGAATCCTATATTTGGAACAGTTTTAACTTTTTGCCAATATGAAATGATTTTATTGCTTCAAAAATGCCTATATGTTTAAAATCACAAACTTCAAATAGCCTTTTTCTCTTTTTGAAACTCGACGTCCAATCAAACACCTTCACATAGAATGAAATGAAAGAAGCATGCATTTTTACCTTTAGTTTTATCATTGTAACTACTTGTTTGTTGAACCACATCTGCAAATTGATGTCGAATCGACTCAAGATCGCACATAATTGCGTTGTCATTCTGCAAAAGTTTATGAACTTTCATCAGTTTTACTCACGTCTTAGTTTTTTGTTACTTTATCATTAAATAAAAGCTAACATAATAAACCTACATCATCAAGAAGTACATTCTGTGGCTTCAAATCGCAAAATACCAACTGACTACTGTGTAGTATATGCAAGGAGTATGCTATTTGTCGTACCACTTTAAATGCAGTTCGCCAATCTAACTCTGGAAAAAGTATAAAAGTTGGTGTTAGAAGGGAAAACTTTTGCACATGAAGAAAGGATGGAACAGAAATAATCAATACCAATTTCAAAAAATATGGGAAAGAAATATTGTTGAAGATTATAGCGGTGTTAAAATTGACATTAAGATTTTAATCTTAGGAAATAAGATCAGAACATTAACAACAACATACCCAGTGAAATCCCACTAGGTGGGGTTTGGGAAGGGTAGAGTGTACACATACTTTACCTGTGAAATCCCACTAGGTGGGGTTTGGGGAGGGTAGAGTGTACACATACTTTACCACTACCTCGTGGAGGTAGAGATCTCATTTCTAAAAGACCCTTAGCTCAAGTGAATCATACCCAAGTACAAGAAGAAGAAAACGATGAAGAAAGCATAGCATTTAAATAAGAAAAGCAGTGTAGAGTCGACAAAAGAAGAAATAACAACAAAATAGTATGGTAATCGAAACATAATAAACAACATATGGCGATAGACACCAAAAGCAACATGTTCTTGGTAATATGAAGTTGTGTCATGTCATGTCTAATCACCTCTCCGCAATATTTTTTCGATGTGCCTCTACCCTTTATGTACCCCTTACAATCAACCTCTTGCCTCACTGGGTATCTATGCACCAAGTTCATTATTTTTTATCAAATTTATTTACCAACCACTGTTCAGTTTTGATTTTTTCATTGAATTAAAGTTTGATCAGTATAGATTTGTGTTTTTTTAGTATAGTTTTACAATAGTGTATTATGTGATTTTATAAATTTTTGCTTATTTGTAAGATTGTATACAAAATTGAGACAATTTTAATAGTTTTACAACATATGATTTTTTTTGCTTATGAGAAAACATACCATATAAAAAGTTCAAATTGCATGTCCAAACAAAACTTCAACTTCATCTCATGAATCATGATTACATATCATTATTTCAAATCATGATCCATATTGCATGGCCAAACGGACCCTAAATTTGCACTCCAAATATTCCATTTTGGTCCTGCTCAACCTTAACCCTTTCGACTCCAGAGTTTGTCTCCAAACCTCCAACCTAGCATTAACTTTGTGACGTGTCTCATCAATTAGTTCTACGTTGTCCGCAAATAACATACACCATGGAAAGTACTCCTAAATAGATCGTGTCATCTATCACCTAGGCAAATAGGAAAGGGCTAAGAACTTATCCTTGGTGTAGCCCCATCTCAACTGGGAAGTGCTCTGAGTCTCCTCCCACCGTTTGAACTCGAGTCTTGGCTCCATTGTACATGTCCTTTATCGCCCTAATGTAAACCATCGGGACACCTCTAGCCTCCAACCACCTCTAGAAGACATCCCTTGGAACTTTGTCATAGGCCTTTCAAGGTCAATGAACACCATATGTAGGTCCCTCTTCTTTTTCCTATATTTCTCTACCCGTCTCCGGACAAGATGGACGGCATCAGTAGTTGATTATCCTAACATTAATCCAAATTGATTTCAAAAATGGACATTCTTCTCCCCACCCTCATCTCCACCACTCTCTCCCAAATCATCATAGAGTGGCTTCGCAATTTGATACCCTTGTAATTGTTACAGTCACAAATATCACCCTTGTTTTTGTACAATGGAACCATTGTACTCCACCTCACTCATTAAGCATTTTTGTTGTCTTAAAAATAACATTAAATAACTCAGTTAACCACTCTTACCATATTTGTTTACTATCACCTCTCTCCACAAAGCTTGTGTTTCATTGGGAAACCACCATAGCCACTTTGAGAGGAGGCATGTATTTTGTAGTCCAAGATTTCTGACCAAGTGCACCTGACTGCTTGTGAACCTGTACAACCTGCCATTTTATTAAATGTAGGTCCTTTCCTTCTTTGTTTCCCAACTACAAAAAATCTCTTCTTAGCTTGTCAAGTCTTTCCTCCACCTTAGTAGGGATGGGAAACACTGACATTACATAAGTAGGCAATGAGTCCAAAACAAAATTTATCAAAGTAACTCTCCCTCCCAGTGGGATGTATTGGGCTTTCCAGTCTTCTCAATGATGTCATTCCATATTTCTAACTCCTTGTGTTTGTCCTAATGGCATGCCTAAATAGGTTGTTGGAGGTTGTTCCACTCTACACCCCAAAATATTTACCAGCTTTGTAGTTGAGGAATCTATTTAATGGGAAATATGCAGCTCTTCCTCCAGTTGACTGATAGCCCATAAACTGCCTCGAAAATCACCAAGGTCGCCCTTATGAATGTAATCTGACTTGCCTTTGCTTCACAAAATATGATTGTGTCATCTGCATATAGCAAATGACATTTGCATCTCCTCCCCTGAAAGGTTGCCAATCATAAATCCTCTCATTCAATGATTTTGCATAGCCACTAAACCCTCCATGGCTAAAATAAACAGGAAGGGAGAGAGTGGATCTCCCTACTTGTGTCCTCTTTCTGATGGAAAAAAACCAGTAGCTTCTCCATGTACCAGAATGGAGAACCTAACGATCTTTTTATACATAAACCAATCCACATCAACCATTTTCCCCCACAACCGATTCCACTTTAGAACTTTGAGAAGGAATTCGCAATTTACATGGTCATATGCCTTTTCTATGTCCAGTATACACATAATACCTAGATCTTCCCATTTAATTGTTGAGTCTACACATTCACTTGCTAAAAAGTTGCATTCATGATCTGTCTCCCTTTGATGAAGGTCATTTGATGTTTTTATTGAGTAGCTTGCGATCAAAGTTGCATAAATTCATCCAAGAATATTGTATATATTAAAAATATTAAATAAATACTTGTAAAAGATTATGGAAAACTTACTTATTCAGCAGAAAAAATGGTATTTGGTTGGAAAAGGAGAGGAAGAAACTTGAAACTTTTAAAAAGAAGAAAAATGAGGAAGAAGAGAATTTTTTTATGAAATAATGCTTACTATTTAATAGGGTCTGAATGGTATTAAGACTTTGTTATAGATCTGATTCATTCAAACTCATTAAGACCCATTAAGAGGCTTTTTTTAAAAAGAAACAAATGGACTTAATGGGCTGAATCTGAATGATTAAGATTCAGACCTAAAAAACAAACGCACTTAATGGCCTGAATCTGAATGATTAAGATTCAGACCTCCATTAAATCCAAACAAATGAGGCCTAAAAGATCCTCCAAATAAAGGAGGATGAAATAATTCCTTCTCATTAATCCAATCAGTGAACTCTATCTGATACCATGTGATAAATATAGGAAAATAATATTATTGAATTGTTGTTGTGTCTACATTATTACATTGAGACCCTATTTATAGACACTACAATACAATCATTTACCAAGTAGGATACTATTTAGTAGTCCTATTTCTATTTCTATTCCTATTCCTATTGTAATAGGATTGTATAAACCTATTCCTATTCTAACAGCTTTGTTATAGTGTTATCAAATGCGCACTTTAAGCATGCTTAAGCCCTGAAGTGAGGCTCAAAATGTGTTGAGTGCTTCGTCTCGCTTTATGTGCGCTTCAGTGTCGTCATCAAGATTCTAAGACAAACTTTTCCTTGCCTATGAGCCTCTTATGAAGAAGTAACACTAAACAATTGATATTTTACTTTATCACATTCTTTTCAATTTCTTTGGTCATATATTTGTCATTCATGTTTGTAATTATTTTTATTTATTTTTTATGACAAGGGAAACCCACTGCCGCTACCCTTTGGGTGCGCACAAGGTAAAACCCTCGCTCCTATGTAATAGCTCGCAAACCACATAGGAGAGGTAACCCCACACTAGGCAAGCCCGGTGCGACGAGCTCGACCCAGAAGGCAAATCCCTTGCTTGCTTTTGCTAGCAAGGGGTTTCGAACTTGAGACCTCCAACATGGAAGTCCCAAGCCCAAACCACTGGGCCACCCCGAAGGGTGTTTATAATTATTAGTCTTGGACTAGACATATACATTTGTATTTTTTTTTCCCTTTGCGCCTTTTTTCATTAAAGCCCACGCTTTATTTGCGCTTAAAGCCCCATGGACCTTAGAGATTTTTTGCACTTTTCGCCTTTGATAACACTGCTTAGTTAAACCTCTAACCAAACTCCTCTTATTCCCCCATTCAACCCCCTCACATTCCACGATATGATTTTTTTTCTTCATTTGAGCATCAAGGGTATAGTTCTCCCCCTGACTCTAACTTCAAGGTTCCTAAGTTCTTTAGGAATAGAGTTTTGCTTGGTGTATTTATTGTTCACCTCTTTCTTTGGATATAATAGCCCCCTTTTTTGGTCTATCTTTCATAAAAAGGTCAAAGGCTATTTTATCACATCCTTCAAAGGCTGTGCCAAACATCTTGATGAATTTTAGAACATTGGTTTGCACCCAGACATTAGCCGTGACCTTGATCTCCTGTTTCGACAATGGTTCTTCTGTCCGAATTGGCACTGACTCTTTATATATTATAAGATGTCCCGCTGACACCTCTCTTTGTTCTTCTTGAGACTCCTCCATGTTTTCGTGTGCATCTTACATAGAGAGGGTAAGGTCGTTTTCTTCTCTTATTCCTTTACTTTGCATATTAATTTATGTATGTTCTACACTTGAATTTTGGCTCTCGTATGCTTTATCTCTCCAGTCTCATAACAAACTCCAACTCTGTTGTGTCAGAGAATTTAGAGAAAAAAATGGATCCTTGATTTATTTGGGGGAATTTTAAAATTGGCTCAACACTTTTCCCTTTAATGAAATTTTGGCTATCAAAGGTATGGGATATAAAAGGCCCACAACAATTTCCATAAATATGATCCCCTATAAAATTGTTGTGACAATCTAGGTCCACTCCACGCACGTGTGTTGACACATTTCCTTCAAGGGTCGTGTGGGTTCCACTAGTAGAAATGCCATAGTCCTTGCTAAGGACCGCAGGACAAGCTTTTGAAATGATTTCCCTATTCTGTCATATGTCACTATCAACTGCAGATTACGGTTTTCTATTGCCTTTCCTTTCTCACTGCTCATACCTTTCTCGATTGTTGGGCTCATCCTATTCCTTCCGATGGTATCTAGTTGGAGCTTCAACCCATAGTGGCAATGTATATATGAGTTTGCCATCATTAATCTCCACAGAGGAAGGACTCTTGACTCTTGGTCCTCGCACTCGGGACTCGAGTCCATCGAAAATGGTTTTTTCAATTGAGTCTCTTCCTTCGTCTCCTACCATCCCCACAAAGATCTCCAATTTGTTTCATCACCTTGTTATTCCAAAGCTGCAGTGGTAGACCTAGGATATGAACCCAGAACCACTCGAAGTTAGTTTCTGCCGAAAAAGTCCTTACCTTCGGTGTCCGTCATTCTAGACGCAGAAGGTGATTTTTTTTACTCCACTCTCCCATGTGTATGTGGTATGCATCTCCTCTCGATCGAAACTCAAATAGGAACTGGCTTCCGTTTATGTCATAGATCTACAGATTGTGGATGCCCATTAATGCATGTTTCGCCCTGCTCTTAACATCATTTATGGTGGGTATCTCGTCACCCCCGGGGAATCTTCCCACCAAACACCTACTAAGGGGTCCTTTTTCACCCTTCACAGTATGCCGCTAAAGTTCAGCTCTATTTTCCAGCACTCCATTTCTTTCTTTGTATTATTTCTTTGTAACTATCCTTTCCCCCGAGTCCCATAGAAGTGGAACCTCCTTGATATGTACTAGAGTCTTGTACTCCTATCTTTTGATTAATAAATTATTCTATCTTTAAGACAAGTCCCACCTGCCCTCCCCCCGCCCCGTCCATTAAATTAGTCTTGTGGTAATATAATCACTGTTTTGGCCTTGCCATTGACTAAAACGACAGAGATAATTTGCCATACTTATTGAACTTTAAGGTACAATAAATGTTGGTAGTTGCATCTTTGCATTTCCAAGTCTTATATGACTTTCCTTTAATGGTTGTAACTTCTTAGAGTCTATTGCATAACAATAGGAGTGCATCCCTGCTAAGCTTCATTCTTCTCAGATAAAGTCTTGCACTCTCCACCCATTTGTACCATAAATTTGTGGTTGATTGAGTTTCAGTCAGATCATAGGATTTCCCCCCTAGCCTGAGGTAGATCCTTTAGTCCGCGCGGATGAGTAGGAAGAAGAAGGATTGGAAAAGAGGAGGAAAACAAAATGGAGGTTCCCGACAGAGGAAGTCCACCAGAAAAAGGTGCCTAAGGATAGAAGGGTCCTTACGTCAGACTCTCGGTGTATGTGTCTAAGAGCATTATGAGCAAGGCTAAGGGAAGATAGCTCTCTCTAGTTTATTGATTTGTGTTTAATTAAGAATATGCACAATCATAATATGGAAAATAAGAGGGCAAAGCATTTCAAATTGGTTAAGCAAAAAAAAAAAATCTAGAAAGATACCTTCAATGTTTGAAAATAGACTCCCCTTCTTCATTAAAGGGAAAACCAGAAATGCTTTCGTAGGCGTCATTCTAATCCCCTCACACCAGATGCCATACCCACATAAATCTATGAAAGACTTATGTAGCAAGAGTTCAAGATAGTAGAGTTCCTCCTGTTCATCATACTTTAGATTCATATGTACTGTTTTATTAAAGGTTCTTGAAGATTTAAATTTTTTTTTACCTCTATCGCTTTTATTTTAACCTTCAAAGCGTACTCTCCTTGGTCCAACCGTAACAAGTGTTGTTTATCAGATCGGCATGAATAGACATAAGCTGTACCTCCACCAATTCTAGAATCTATCAAATTATCAAGGAACTCAGGATCCTGTTTCCAGTCATCACTATATATGACAGCTGCATGAGCATTCAATACAAAATTGATATTAATTACAATTCTCAAAATAAATATTTCACGAGTTGAACTATCAAGGGAATACTTACATTTGTGCCATAGTGGTAAGATTAGTTGCGCATGCAACCTATCAAGATATGCTTCCAAATTCAAATGCCTCCTCAAAATGCCATATATATTCGAACAATACTGAGATCCCTGCCTCATATCGCAAAAAATAAGATATAAATTTATACTAACAGATTAGGAGTTAGCATTAAATAGTTGTCTATCACCCTCTTTGAGCCATAAAGCCAGAAGCTCATGGAAGTTACCATGATAAACTCAACAAAAGCTATACGAGTTGAATGATGATAGTCACCACGCAACCCCAAGCGATAAAACTATGTTAGAGAAGAAAAACAAAAACATAGAGTTTAGGATTTTAAGAAGGAACAGCACGTCAGACTTGTTACATGAACAGCAACAAACCTGTCCACAAAAGGACTCGAAGAACAGCTTGACATCTGCTTGAGTAACCTGCTTCATACAAACATACAAGTCGTAAATATTTTCCTCATTGATGTACATCAAGAGAGTGAATTATCAACCCAAAATTCCTCCTTATCTATAATTGTACAGTATACAGTTCTAGCACACATATCTCTTTCATCTTCAGACTAACATCAGCACAAAAGGTGAAAAATTTAGTATTAGCAACACTAAGTATGCATTTGGCACTCCCAAGACATTGTTACAAAAGGTAAACTAAATGTAGCCACAATTCCTCACCCTTGGAAGAACGGTTCGATTATCCTGTCCAATCACAGTTCTGGAAGGAAGTACTCCAACGGGATAAAACCCAAGCGTAGTTCCTGCAAGACTCAGAGCACTACTTGCACCTTCTGCATAACATATTGGGGAAAATGTGATGTTAGAGAACAAGCGCCCTAATAGTCTAGCCAGAATATGTAAACAAATAATCATGTGTCAACCTACCTTTTTCTTCAAACTGAATGAAGGCAAATCGAAGTTCAGAATTGGCATCACCATATATACGATAATCGAAAACCTTCAGCACATTAATGTTAAGTCATATATGGAAACAAAACATTTCCTCAACATAATTGGAAAGACAAGACAATAAGCAGAATGAGTACAGAAACTTGACAGAATGGATAGATCTCCACCTGTCCACAGCTACGAAAGAGTGCTGTGAGCTGCTCTTCAGTCACCTACACAACAGAAGAAACAGAATTATTAAAATAAAAAAGATAAAGGTGCAGTAACCCAATTAACAATAACACTGGGCCTCTCTTTTTTACCTGATGATCAATGTCGTATACATAAACCGTCCTGCTTATAACATCTTCCCTTTGGGCCGTGCCTGTTTGGGTATTCATCCTTCTATTTCCATAACCATAGCCGTTGTTCTTCTGCATGCACAACTCAAACTCCACTAATCAGCTCAAACTCACGGACGTAGATATATTACAAAAAAGAAATAAAACAGAGAAGATTTCATTTTCCAAAATAAATGGTAGAGAAAGAGTGAAAAGAAACTCAACACCCTTCACTTTAAAATTACAATATCTTTGCCTTTATGCCACTTCCTTCCTTTTTGCAATCTCCTCAATCTTGTGTTTTGCCAGAGAACTTACATGTAATACAATAAGCCTCTATCTCAAATATTTCACCCTTCAAACACTGCTGTCCCATGGCATAATAATGCCCCCCTCTAGTAGCTCTGCTTCTAACTGAACATATTTTATCCTTCTGTTGGCCCAAAGGTCTTTAATGATCTCCTCTATATTTCCTTTTAATTTGTATTCTTGGAAACAGTAAGCATCTACCCTCCATTTGTACATCATATTATTTATTTTCAGCCTCTTTCCCGGATCATTGAGGCCCCTCACATTCCATGACACAAAATTAACCTTCACTGGAATTGTTAATAATCTGAGAAATTGTTATTCCTTTCAATCAGTTCCTACCAATTTTCTCCCTGCTCAAGAATCTCAAAGGAATAATTCCCAGACAGGAAAATTGTGCTTCTTCCCATAATGTTTTATCAACCTTACAAGCGATCACCTTTCTCATTGCCGTATACTAGGCTTAATTTACTCTGTGATTATCACAAGATTAACACGAGAAGAAATGAGGACTTGGGGAAGTAGGGAAATTCTAGGATGAGTTTCACAGAATAGGCAATAGCAAGAGCGAGAGATTAGTTAAACTACTTACGAAACATTTTTGTATAACAATTGCTGCACCAAACAATTTGGCATCTAGATATGATGGAAACATGTAACCTTTGCTATACCTGATTGACGAAAAATACAATCAAATAAGAGCTCGATCTTAGTTGATAAAACATGATAAAAAAAAAAAACTTAAAAACTTATATGACGAGCAAAAAAATCTACCATTTATCCAGCAAATGTGAATTATCACCCAGTATTTCACTAAGAGCTTCGCAAGCATTAAACATATGTTTCTCCAACTGACAACCAAAAAAGCCAAAAACTTATCTTCTCAAAACATAGATGTTAATAATCTGTATGCAATTTCATAAAATTAATGGCCAGTACACCACAAGTTCTGGGATACTTATAATATATAGTAAAGAGCACACATACAAGTTCGAGCACCGGAACAGAAGGTTGAGGACGCCATGTTATATTTGGATATAAAAACGTGAGTCCATAATAGCATGCATTCTCAATATCCCCTATCAGCCTTGCTATAAGTGGTACACAACAATGTGGTGGAATGCCCCTTACTTTTTCCAAGATGAATTTTGTTTTCCGGACCTCCTCTATAGAATAGAGGGTTTCGCCCTCAATGACTACATATGGTGTTCTGTTGTTGGTATCTGGTAAAAATCAACACTACCAGTTATAAAAAGATATACAAACATGGGCACAATTTAAGGGAAGCTCACTTAATAATCCACCTGCATCCATTTTCTCATAATTGACAGTGTACTGAATGTGGCTATGAAGGAAATGTTTGCTAAGCCTCAGGTACCCCAATAAAGATAGTGACATGGGATCGATTGTGGGGAGCTCTGATCCCTTACAATCTATATCTGGTATCCATACTGTTGCAGAGCTGCAACATGAAAACAATTGTTATGGTATAAAGAGACGTTCATCGATTTGAAATCATATATAAACTTGAGCACGGAAAACTGAATGAGGTTGACTTGAAGTAATCCAGAACTTCATCATCATTGATTTCAAAAGTCCTCTCTCAACTGAGTCAGGTTGAAGTAATGATAAGCTTTCTGAATGTTAGACCTGGAGTTACTAGGGTTTATAAACGCAAGACAAGGGTGGAAGAAGAACTAAATGTAACTGTTTTGTCTGTATTTACATTAGTTTCCTGAGCAATTATCACAGTTAGTTTACTTTGTGATACTTATATTACAAAGGAAGACTGAAGCAATTTTATGTACAGTTTTTCTTCTGGCAGATTTGGAGGATGAGGTTATTTGGAATAACTTGGTTGTCGGCTGTATTGTTGTTCTAGGTTGTCATTTGTTTGTTTGTAAAAACTTGTTATCATTGCGTTATTCTTATATAATTTTCCCACTGCACTTTATCTCACCAAGAAAGGAGAATCAGGAACTGTAAAGCACTTACACCATAGTAGTTTTTGGTTTCCAGGTGCAAGCAGATAAATCTGATGTTATTTTCCTTTTCTGACCCAATGCACTGGAATACCTGCTGAATTTATGGCAAATTCAAATATGGTATTCAAACAATTTAAGCGAATTTACTGGAGTGCAAAGTAAAAGCAAAATTACACAACAACAACATACCCAGTGCATTCCCACCCACTCTGAGGAGGGTAGAGTGTACGCAAACCTTACATCTACCTCAAAGGTGAGGTAGAGAGGTTGTTTCCAATAGACCCTCGACTCAAGACAAAAAAGACTAAAAATACATAATGAAAATACAAGACACAATATGTAATAGACAAAGCAACTATTAATAGTAGAACAGTACTAAACCAAATAATACTACCATCAGACTACAAGCATAGCACTATGACTACTAGTAAGGGCACCAAGACAAAGCAATCCTACCTACTAACCTTTTACCCTACTTCCCGCCCTCCATAACTTCTTATCTAAGATCATGTCCTCCGTAGGCCGCAACTACACCATATCTTGTCTAAGCACCTCTCCTGATACTTTTTCTGTCTACCTCTACCTCTCCTAAAACCATCAACTTCTTATCCTCGCCTCTAACCTTGGCTAGCATGTATAACTTCTTATCCTCGCCTTCTACTTTAATTTGGCGTATAAGCGTTGAAAGGTTACTGTTTTTGCCGTTGTAAGTGCTACCTTAGCCTACTTCCAACCCAACTTATACTTCTCCCTATTCATTCGCATTTCATCCTCATCCTTACTCTTCACCTACTTCACGCATGCCCCTTTTTTTTGCCTCCACCTTCCCTTGTGCTTCTCCATTCCACTACCAATCCCCTCGATGCCTACCATATCGGCTTCTCGAGACACCCAACACCTCTCTAACCAGCTCCCTAATGCAGCTGGCAATCTTATCCCACATATTGTCTCCAACCCCTATACTCCCCCAAGTTCCCATATCCATCAACTTCTCCCCTATCTCCAGGGCACTAGTCATAGTCAAGCTACCTCATTTAATCCTCAGTCAGTCATCCACAACCCTCTTCGTCCTCCCCTCCTTGATCTCCAAATTCATCACCAGGAGCTTATGTTGGGGTCAAAAGATACACACTTAGGATAACCTTACAGTCTTTACAAAGAGCTCTATCACCCTTCCTAAGGAGCAAAAGGGAGTCTTGGCTACCGAACTACGAAAGCTAACCAAGTGCTCCTCCTCCTTTGGGAAACTCAAATTGGCTACCATCAATCCAAAGGCTCTTGCGAAATTCAAAAATGAGACTCCTCCGTCGTTCCTATCCTTGAAACCAAAGCCTCCATGCACATCCTCATAACCCCTTGAGGATGACCTGATATGCCTATTGAAATCTCAAACCTATGAAAAGTTTCTCAGTGTTTGGTATGCCTCACTCCACCTCATCCAGAATCTCTCAAAAGCTCTTCTTCTCCTTCTAGTCCAAGGCCGCTTGCGGTGCATATGCACTAATAATGTTCAAAGTAGACCCTCCAATGACTAACTTAATCATCATCATCCTAGCGTAGACCCTCCTAACCTCTACCACTTGCTCCCTAAGCTTTTTATCTATTAACATTCCCACTGCATTCCTGTTTCTCACGCCTTCTGTGTACCACAACTTATACCCGTCCCTCTCCCGCACCTTAGCACCTATTCATTTGGTTTTCTGGACACAAGCTATATTAATCCTCCTCTTCTTGAGAATCTTCACTAGCTCTATGGACTTTTCAGATAAAGTCCCTATGTTCTAAGACCCTAGTCTTAGCCTAGAGGCTCCCTTAACCCCCATCCCCACCACTACCCCACCCTGGCTCTCGCTCCCTTCCCCGACCGAGAACAAGACCCTAGTCTACCATCATTTACCCGAGCTACTAACCAAATATAAACTACTCAAGGTGGATACTAAAACACTAATAATGCACAAGCAAGAACATGCAAGTAAAACTAATACCTAAGGACACTAAAAACACTACTAATACACAAGCAAGAACATGCAAGTAAAACTAATACCTAAGGACACTAAAAACACTACTAATACACAAGCAAGAACATGCAAGTAAAACTAATACCTAAGGACACTAAAAACACTACTAATACACAAGCAAGAACATGCAAGTAAAACTAATACCTAAGGACACTAAAAACACTACTAATACACAAGCAAGAACATGCAAGTAAAACTAATACCTAAGGACACTAAAAACACTACTAATACACAAGCAAGAACATGCAAGTAAAACTAATACCTAAGGACACTAAAAACACTACTAATACACAAGCAAGAACATGCAAGTAAAACTAATACCTAAGGACACTAAAAACACTACTAATACACAAGCAAGAACATGCAAGTAAAACTAATACCTAAGGACACTAAAAACACTACTAATACACAAGCAAGAACATGCAAGTAAAACTAATACCTAAGGACACTAAAAACACTACTAACACGCAAGCAAGAACAGGCAGGTAAAACTAATATCTAAGGATGAAAGAATTAAAGACAAGAATCACACACAAGAACTATAACTACAGGCCAGAATCAATGATGCAGAGGTAAAAACAGGGAGAAAATATAACAATCCGACCAATAACTGGAACTCAAACTTCGACCAATATAACCACAAAAACTACCCTAACCTATGGGCAGGCAGGTAACAAACTGAAAATTAGTGGCAAATCATACCAAATAATAGGATTAATTCTAATCAACAACAATCTAAAAAACCGATTTTGATTTATCGAGTGAATCCAATAATTCTAGAAGTATCAATAGCTTCTATTGAGTTTTCCAGGTGACTATAATGAAAAAAATCAGTAGGTAGTACAAACACTGACACGGAGACAAGCCTATCAGAATAGGCTATAGCTTGGAGAAAAATTAAATACAAGGCAAATACAGAACCTGCTGTAAGGCAATGTTGAATAACAGAGGAACCTGGTGTTGGTTTTGCTACTTACCCGACCAGGTCTTGTAGGTGGCAGTAGTGACTGTAGTGGCTATGGTGCCGCCGGTGGAATGCGGGTTACAGGCAGAGGGAATGACCCAAAAGTGAGTGTTGGTGAGAGAGGAAGTTACGTAGGTGGGTGTAGCTAGGGGTGTTCACACTTTGGATAAAAACTGATCCAAACCGAAAAATCAAATCAACGATAAAATAAAACTGATGTTATTTGGGTTTGGTTTGGTTTGGTTTTAGGTTTTTGAAAACCGATAATATTTGGTTTGGTTATGATTTTATTCAAAAAAAACCGAAGAAATAACCGAACCGAACCGATGAATTATATACATATATTTTATTAATATACATACTTAATATATTATTTTTATAAACAATTTTAAAGATCTTATACATATTTTCATTAAAATTTCTTTATAATTTACTTATTGAAAGCAAAAATGCCCAAAATGAAACATTTATCATATTGATTTCATGTATATGAGTGTCTATGTCAATTCTTTGTGGGACTGAAAATGTTATTGT